TAATATAATTTTTTAATTTATTACTATTTTAATTAATTATTTAAAGAGAAACCATATAAAAAATTGTGAATTTTGAGATATTTTACATAATAAAATACTAAGGCAAACAGTAATAATCAAAAGCAGAATATTAAAAACTAACATTTCGTTGTCATAGATTAAAGTTAAAAATTAATTGAGAAAGCAATTAAAAAATATAATTGCAGTGATAGCCACAGAAAAATTTTGAAAGACACATATCGGCATATATCGCTTCTCCATACCTACTCCTGCGAAAAGTACATTGTTCTGATGTATATCTCTTTTCCTGCGTACGGCAGCGACGAGTTTCGCATATTTATGATACATAATAATACGGATATGCGAAGGATACGAAGTTTTGCGAGAAACTCGTACGCGAAGGAGGAAACTTGAACGAGAACGACGAGCGTCGGATGAAGCCGGATGAAGCGAATTCTACGGCGAGCAACGAGCTAAACCGCGAAAGTTATCGTCGGCATTACTGATGATTCGCAAAAGAAACGGCGGTATGCGTTATCGTTGAAGCGCGAAACGCGATTCCCATTTCTAGCCGTTTCTCCTTTTCTTGTTCGCGACTCCGCTCAGTGAGAATCGATTGTCGATACCGCGGATAATTAATAGCTGCCAGGAGGTAATGAAACTGAAAGCTATGGGCTCGCCTCGTTTTCGCGTATATAACTGACAAAGAGAAGAATTCTCGACAATACTCATAATTCATTGTTTAAAATCAAGATTGGTGATTATATAATACAATGGTGATTATACCTCTTTTTTTCTATTTTATTTTTTTTTTCAATATATTTATATTTTTGAAGGACTTTCACTTTGTTCATTAAATATAAAAAAATAAAATGTATAAAATATAAAATTGAACTTAATTTGCAACATTAGTGACGTAAAAAGAACAATTTATTTTTTAAAATTTGTTTAATTAGTTACACAGTGTAAAGAGAGTAATTCCGAACTCTTGATTTTCCTCGCGCAAGCAATTGCCGACAAATTAATTCGTACTTTGGCACACTCTGGCAACGTTAAGATAATTATTGTCGCTCGTGATAGTAATAATGGGCGACTGCCTTTTAGCACTGCTCCTCTGGAATTTAACGAAAAAGCGAATTCGACGTACTTTTATAACCGCGCTAAAAGTTTTTACCGCGAGCATAAACGTATTAATTAAGCGTGTTAATTGAATACGTTTAAAAATGTAACGATACGTAAAATGGTTATGAGAAATATGCATTGTCTTAGGATAAAAAAAAATTCTTTTATTAGTACAAAAGAAATCAAAATATTTCTGAAAATATATTTTGCGCATTATTTTTGAATCTTTAAAGATACCACAATTTATTTCTCGGAGAAAATAAAATATCATTTAATATGTTAATATCATAAGAGTTCTTTGCGGGATAAGGAAAAAAAGATGAATTTATATTATATTATATATTTTTACTTTTTCTTGTAGAGAACTAGCATAAACGTATTAATTAAGCGTGTTAATTGAATACGTTTAAAAATGTAACGATACGTAAAATGGTTATGAGAAATATGCATTGTCTTAGGATAAAAAAAAATTCTTTTATTAGTACAAAAGAAATCAAAATATTTCTGAAAATATATTTTGCGCATTATTTTTGAATCTTTGCGGGATAAGGAAAAAAAGATGAGTTTATATTATATTATATATTTTTATTTTTTCTTGTAGAGAACTCGAGAATATTAATAATATTATTTCGCTTCAAATAGATTTGTTTAATATTTTCAATTTCCGAGTTTTGGTATTTTCGGTAGTATTTTTGCGATATAACTGCATTTTTATTTACAAAAGGCTGAATAAAATAGTAAAAGTGACAAATAATATGAATAAAAGATCTTGTGATCTCCATATTTGAATTGAATGATATATAGTTTCTTTACTTTGCAATTGAAAAATATAGTGATGTCACGTATACGCATTTGCCGCGATTACATCATTTCGCTCTGTATAGCTTGTACCACTCTAAAACTATAATAGAAGTCCTTCCACATCTGACGTGTTCTTACGCGATTAAGTCTCAACTCGACTTCTCGAGGAGACGCGAATTGCGGGATTCGTAGTTAGCTCTTTAGGTACGCGCCGGGAAACCTTGGGGTGAATGCCGTCGCTGATTCTGTCTGGTTAATGGAACTAAGAAGCTCGTAAACGTATTAATTGCTACAAAGGACATTGGCTTTGATCCGTCAATGACGGGCGGTTGCCTTTGTCTCCATAGCCTTTGAAATAGCACGATCGACGAACACGAATAACTCACATTTGAAAAGCTGCTCTTTTATATAAAATTCTTTTATATCGCATATATATATGTATGTATATATGTATGTATATACGTGATACACGCAGTATTTAGTATTTTAATAAATTTATTTATACATACATATATA